CTATCTATCTATCTATCTATCTATCTATCTATCTATCTATCTATCTATCTATCTATCTATCTATCTGAGACAGGATCTCTCTATATTGCTCTGGCTGTTTTGGAACTCATTATGTTGACCAGGCCAGCCTTAAACTCACTAGGAGGCTCCTGTCTCCTAAATGCTGGGATTAAAGTGTGTGCCATCATGCCTGGCTGCATTCCTTGTACTCTTAAGTTGAATCTTCAGGACTGACACTACAGGGTGTGTTGGTGGGAGCCTTATTACTTTCCCCTCTTCTGTTTTCCTGTAGTGTTCACAGTGGTGGTGACCACTATCAGAGGTCTTGGCTCCTCCTCCTTCTGCTCTGGATCTTTTTCTTTTCTTTTAACCTATACATTTGGATTCCAGCTCCAGCGTTTTCTCTACAGTTTGGAGAGCAAATCGGGGCCAGCTAGTTTTTGGACAGGGCACGCTCATCCACTGTGTCTCTTCTATACAAATCTGTACTGAGAGTCCGTCAGCTCCTTCAGTCTCAGGCTGACCATGCCACACAGTCTTTAGCTATGATGGGTTTGTCTCCATCCTCAACTATATTCTGAGGCTGGGAGGATATATCAGTATGGTCGTTGGCTACAGGCTTTGGCTTTGCTACCTACACGACGCAGCTTTTAATTAGAGGAGTGAACGTAAGGGGAAAGTTATACCTCTGCTGTTGACATCCTTCCACTATTGCCCTACATTTTTTTCTTTTCCCTTGGGGAAAATGTTATGAGACACTTGAGAGACTGTTTTGCTTGAATCGAAACTTTTGGTATATCATGTTGCTATTATTGTAAAAGAAGAAGTGTGCCTAAGAGCAGCAACAGTATTTTGGGATTCTTCCTCTGGCGCTGACAGTGAGAAAGTAACATTGAAAGGCATTGTGCATTGTGCCTTGAGTATGAAAGTGAAGGTTCATGGTGTCTCAAACTCCATGCAAATTCCCACACAAGGCAGGGAATTGACCTGACATATGCACCAATCCTTGGAGATGGTAAAATGCCTCTTCCCTCCTGATTATGGGTCCACATGAAGATTCCTGGTGTGGACACCCTAAAAGTTCAAGGCAAGTCATCCAAAGCATGTTACAATTATATTATTGGTAAACAATCCAACACAGTAGATTTCTGCTGTGTATTATTTAGTATAATGAAAATAATTCTCTCTTTGTTATATTTCGAGATCAAGTCTTGTGTAGCCCAGGCTGGCCTTGAACTGGCCATGTAGATGATTATGACCTTGATTGCCTATGCCACTTCACCCACTTTTTCATTTTTTAAAAATTCTTTTATGTGTATGTGTGCTTTACCTGCACATATATAGGTGTATCACATGCATGCTTGGTTCCTAAGGAGCCAGACTAGGGCACTGGATCCTCTGGAACTGGAATTACAGATGGTTGGGCACCAGCAGGTGGGTTATAGGAACTGGACCCTGGTCCTCTGCAGAAGCAGCAGGTGCTCTTAATGTTGCGTCATCTCTCCAGATCCTTATCTTTGTTTTAAGATGGGAGTTTTCTCCTGACAAATTGTTTCCTATATAATAGTTACATTAGGAGAGAACTTTTTGTCAAGTGCAATTGTCAGACATTGTAATCCTATTAAATAGTAGAGGTACAGCAATTCCTTGTTCATTCTGCATTAGTTGAATGATATTTGTTACTCAGGTAACTGTGGCCATGAAATAGGCTGGTTGTGCAGTATCAGCTAACAAAATTCAAGTATGTGAAATGATTTTTCCTCCTTTTCTCCTTCACCTTCTTGATATCTGAATTGGACATGGTGGTGCATGTCTATAATTCCAGCACTCAGAAGGCTCAGGCCAGTTGGATAATAGCACAACCATACCTCAAAGAAAAAAATTGAAATGGGTCTTAATGCCAGGAGCCCCTTTCTCATGGAGAAAACCTTACTGTAGAAAATTCCCCATGTGCTTCTCTTCCTCACAGGTCTCTTCTGCTCTCAAGATAGTTGTGGGTCAGGAGTAACCACTTGCAAAGGACCTACCTACCTCCTTTTGCTCCTCTAAGGCTTGTGAATCATTTGAGAGGGGCCAGGGCAAGGTGGAAAGCAGGCGACTAGGGGAGGCATTTTAGTGGGGTGTTAGGCACAATCTTGCACCCCATTGACTTTGGCCTCAAAAGTTCACATCTGGCATGCTGCTTTGGGGTGACAGATCTGTATCTTCAGCTCTGTCCTTTCTCCACCGTGACCTGTAGGGTCACTGGTGATCTATCACCCCTTGCAGCTGCTGTGAGTGGGTTTTAAGGCTGCAGGTACTAAAGAAATAACAAGTTTGGAGACATTTGGTTCTTCGTGACCGAACACTAAGCTTGAGCCATGCTGCTTTCTCTGAGGGCTTAGTGAGGTGGAAGCCTCAGGACCTCAGCCACGTTTTGCATCTCCCTGTTGTGCCAGCTCAGGTGCCCCGGGTGCAGATCTCCAGGTCTGCCTAGCAGTTCCACTACTTCTGTGTCCACAGTTTCTTTCCAGAGAACCTCAGGAACTTCTTGTTTGCGGGAGGGGAGTAGAAATGAGATCTTTCTCGGGGTTTATAATTATAACACCTCTAAGTGACAAGATTGACTGCCCACATTTGTAAAATAATTATTACCATTACTATTACTGTGTGTGAGAGTGAACACAGACCTGCTGTGGAGGTCAGAGGGTAGTTTTGGGGAATCATTTCTCACCTTCCACTTTGAGGCAGGGTCTCTCTCTTTTCTCCTGCTGTGCTGCATACTCCAGCCCAGCTGGTCTGAGAGCTGTTTCTGCTTCCCATCTCACCATCACAGAGCTGGGATTACAGATGCGTGCCACTGCACCTGGCTTCTGTGTGTGTACTCCAGGGATGGAACTCACAACACCAGGCTTGGTACATGCCACTGCATCTGGCTTCTGTGTGGGTACTCCAGGGATGGAACTCAGAACATCAGGCTGGATGCATGCCACTGCACCTGGCTTCTGTGTGGGTACCCCAGGGATGGAACTCACAACACCAGGCTAGGTGCATGCCACTGCACCTGGCTTCTGTGTGGGTACCCCAGGGATGGAACTCATAACACCAGGCTTGGTGGAAAGCACTTTACCCACTTTATTTCGCTGGCCCCAGATTGTACTTTCGTTTGGAATGATCCATCTCCATTGCCACCCATCACCATGCCAAATGCCCATGCAGGCAGAGATGGCCGTACTGGCTTGAGGTTTAGTGGCAGGAGTGGCTTTGGCTATTGGGATCTGTGTGGACACTGTGACACGTAGCTTTAAGCGACTCCACTGGTTTCCACTAGTGCTTCCGGTCCTCTCTTTTGTTTCAGGAATTGTCCAAGTCCTATACAGGTGTGCCTTCAGCCAGCTCACCATCAGCGCACAGTCACACAAGTAGGCTGCGGCCACACGTCATTGAGATTTGCTTTTGTCCTGAAGTAAAGGTGACAAATAGTTTGTGACTGCTTCTTTTGCTTTCACTTATCTATTTTGTGTGTGTGTGTGTGTGTGTGTGTGTGTGTGTGTGTGCGCGCATGCTGAAACTCGTAAGATTCAGTGATGCTCAACAAAGGCTCTGATTTATAGGGTCACTGTCTCTGCAATGAGAATTACATGTCTATGGAACAAGTATCTTTGGACTGCCTACTTTTTCCTGGGCCAGGGAAGGAAATGCTTCAGCTGTCTGAGTTGAGTGTAAGGTCAGGGGTGGCAAACATGAAGTAATGAGTGTACGTGCGTGTATGAGCTAGAGGATGAGGTCCCTACATTCAGTTTCTAGATTCTTATCCTGCCATAAATACATGCATAAAACCATAAAATATAATCTGGAAACTCCCAAGACCTGTTTCTTTCTGGACTCAAGGAGTTTAAGGCAGATGGTGTATATAAGAATTTAAAAATGTGAGGAATCAATATGGTAGTGCATTGAGAACACCATGGGAGCTTGTGAGAGGAGCGGACAGGGAGAAGAAAGGCACTGGCCGCTCAGGACAGGCTGAACTAAATCACAGAGGTAAAGTGAGATCATGGGCCTGGCGGAGACAGTACACAGACTGCCAATCTGACAGCATTTAAAACCATTTCTAGGCTTGTGGGTGGGAGTGTTTCCACATTAGGTTAACTGAACGTGGGCGGCGGCATCCCACAGACCGGAAGCAGCGGAGCAGCCCCTCTGCCTTCCTGACTGTGGGCATGCTCGACCAGCTGCCCCTCTCTTGCCCCCATGCCTTCCCTGCTGTGATGGACTGCATCCTCGAACCCTGAGCCAAAACTAACCTTTCTTTTCTTCAGTTGTCTTTGTCAGCCATTTTATCGTAAGACAGGACGTGTAACTACCATGGGCCTTTGAGTGGAAATGAGGATTAGGGCTGAGAAAGGTCAGCCAGGGCCCAGGCATGATCCCAGCTAACAAGTGTGACTGGGAAAGTCCTGGGACTGGCTGAGGCCTTATAGGAAATGCATGTCTGCCCTGTTATTTTAAAGACAGTGAAGCCACCCGATATTTTCACATCTACTGCTCATGCACTAGACACATCTGGATGGTGGGCTACTTTTCCCAATGGCTGGTGCCCATTAGCTTCGTGTGTCTGCTGAACAGCCCTCGAATATTCAAAGCAAGTACTGAGTTGTTATTGGTACTGGATGGCGCATGCTCCAGCCACAGAGCCTTAATTTCCTGCATAAGTCGGCCTGCTACTAGGGCATATCTAACCATACCTCCTTGGCATTTTAGTTTATGATTACACAATAACCGCACATAGTGTAAAAGTACTTGATGCTGCGAAACCATACTCTGCCGATGGTAAATGGAAAAATCTGTGTCATGCTGTCCAAGGAGAAAAACCCAGACGCCATACAAGTAATCACATGCAGAATTAGAAGGTACTATGCCAGCAGAACCCTAGGGCTGCAATCCATCTTAGCGTCTCTCTTGAAGATGTCCCGGAGGCGTCTGCTGCCCGTCCGGTCCTGCAGGTGAGGCGGCGAGGGTCAGGAGGCAGTATCCTCTCCCAGCCTCGTGCAGGTGAGCGGAGGTCCTCTGTGCGGGTTCTGCAGCCCCGTGAGGCCTGGGCCGCGCTGCTTCCCTACATCTCTGGGCGGAGGCGCAGGAAGAGTATAGTTTCCAAGGTCCCAGACGAGAACCTCCGCCCTCCTACTAGGCTGTGCCAGCCTTCTGCCCGCATCGCTTTCAGGGTAGGCTGGGGCAGCTCAGAGGAGCCATCTGTGCCCGGGAAGTGTACCCTCTCGCTTCGCCGTCCGGCACCTGCCCCGCGCCCCGGGTCTGCGGGAGCCGCCGCTGCCTGTGCACATGCGCAGTGGCGCCGCCGGGAGCCCTGCCTCCGCCTCCGCCGCCGCCGCCGCCTCCCGGTTCCGCAGTGACTTCCTGCAGCTGTTTCCCGGTGGCTCCGCTCCGACCGACTTTTGACAGTCAACCTCCAGCAGCCGAGCGGCCGGGCGGCGGCGGCGAGCGCGGAAAGTGGTCGTGGAGCGGGCAGCGGCGCGCGGCGGCTGCGGCCTGCCGGTTCCGGTGAGTGCGGAGCGCGGGGTCGGTCCGCGCGGCTGCGTCCGTGTGCGCGTGTCAGCCTCGCCCGCGGCGTCCGGCGGGCCACCGAGCCCGAGCCCGCAGCCGTTCGCGCAGCCGCCTCGGCGACGCGGTGCTCCCTGCCGGCATCGGCGCGGGACCCGAGTGCGTGTGTGCGCGCCCAGCCCAGGAATGGCATAGGCGGGGGCGATGCTGCAGGGGCGCAGCTTTGAGTCCTAGGAGCAGAGCCTGGGTCGCCACGGCCTCCTCCCGGTCTCAGCCTCCTTCTGGGATGTAGAACAGCCTCCGGGGTGCTGCTTTTTCTGCCTGCCGCGTTGTGGTGACCTCTGAGTAAGGTTCTCTCTTCTCTTCTCTAGAATACCCAGGGAGAGCCTTCCCTACTTTGCGCGGACGCCGGGAACCTGTTCCTGGATTCTCTTCTCTTCCCTGGGTCCATTTCTGCCAAAGGGAGGGCTCTTTGCACTACAGCCTGAGAGGAGTAGGCCCCAGCCAGCCATGGAAACGTGTGCTGTGGTCATTCATTTTCCTTAAACTGGTACATGGTGGAGCTGAGATTTTTCTTTAGTGTCTTCTTAGCTCCCTTCCAAATTAGGATATCAAGCCTTGTGCATCCTTCTTGTATGCCATTGCACGCGTCCAATCGGATGGATTTTAAGATCTGAGAAGTATTTTTATATCGGCTTCTAAATTAGTCTCTTAAATTAATGCAGCAGTTTGAACAGATCCGAGTGTTATGGGTCTCTCTATTCAGAGTTTGTGCATTCACTGAAGCCTTGTTTTTATTTATTACCCAAATGTAATACCTGTTGTGATTGTTGCCTATAGATTTTTTTTTTTTTTTGAGCGGGGCTTAGCCTTATGTTGATTATTAAATATAGCAGCAATATTTTTGAGTCTCTACCCTTTCTTTGAACATTATGAAGATAAAGTGTAGTAATGGGCAAGCTTGCACTGTAAACACCCCCACCCCACCCCCGCCGATGCTTTGCTCTGGAATTAGGCCTTTTGTGCCTCTGCCCCGAGGAGGGCCTTGCTTCTGCTGGAAAGCTGTTTGTCACAGTGGGGACAACTGCATGCTAGGGTTTCCTCAGGTGGGAGTAAGCGTGCAAGAAACAAGCCCAGGCATGTCTTGGCTGCTTCAGTTCCCTGTGTATTGTTGCTGATTTTCTTTATCCGGATGTTTTGGTACCCTGCTCTGTCCTTTCGCCATGACCTAACAGCATTGATGACCTCACAGAATGTGTGTGACAAGTTAGTGAACGACACAGTAAGTTATGACCGAGCAGTTAAACTATTTTAAAAGATGGTTTTGTTCCTTGAGTTTCCTTACCCACCTCCCCAGTATCCATAATCATCTTTGCTTTTTGGATGCCTTTTATTTATTTGGGAGAAATAATACTGTTTCAGAGAAACTTATTGTTTAAATGTTCCAAATCTGTATCACTTTTCTTTGTGTTTCCAGAGATATGGGCAGTTGAATATTATCCTTTTCTAGCTATTACGATTAATGAAAAGTACTGTTAAATTCTACGACTAACCATCTATTCATCTCGCTATTAACTATATGACTTTCCAGTCAGTGGTTCTTTCTCACTGTGTGTTTACTAAATGTGCTAAATAGACTTTTACTTTTTAAAGAGTCCTTGAGTCATTTTAGTAAACCTGTTACCACCCTAGCTTACACATCTTCATTCCAGACAGAAACCTCAGCAGCTGAAGACAACACATCCTATTGACCAAGAAGAGTTTTAACAATAGTGAGAGTGGAGGAAAGTGTAGACTTTGAAATAAGGCTTCTAATTTAGATAACTAGAATCTGGAAAACTTGAAGGGTCTTTCCTGTGGTGGTCAGAACTAAAAGATGCCATCTGATTGGGGAGCAGGAGGAATCAGGGAAAGTTGAAGAGGGAGTGGGACATGTAGCATGAATCTTAAAAGTTCTTATTAATAAAAATCAAACCTGAGGCCAGTTATTGGGATAAACTGGAAGATCAGAAAACTAGAACAAGTCACTGCTACCTCACCTCGCCGGATCCTCAGCTGGTCTTGTTTCCTCAGACTGGAGGCCTCTGTGTCCTCATATCCGTATGGCTCTCAGCTGAACTGTGCTCCAAAGCCTGAAAGCTTAACCAACCAAAATGCTTCTAGTTTCTGGTCCTCACGCCTTATATACCTTTTTGCTTTCTACCACCACTCCCTGGGATTAAAGGCTGGCTTTCTGGGATTAATGGCTGTGTCACTATGCTTGGCTGTTTCCAATGTGGCCTTGAACTCACAGACATCCAGAGGGATTTCTGCCTCTGGAATGCTAGGATTAAAAGCGCAAGTGCCACCATTTTCTAGCTTCTGTATCTAGTGGCTGTTCTGTTCTCTGACTCCAGATAAATTTATTAGGGTACACAATATTTTGGGAAACACAATACCACCACAGGGACATAGTGGGTATTTTCTGAAGAAAACAGAATAGAGAGTGTTGGGAATCTCTGCTTTGGCTCCACACTTCCCATTCCAGACTTTGCTCTTCAGAAAGCCCACCAAGGGTCAGCTCTGCCACCAGAGATTCTCAAGACCAAGCCCACAGGGTATTTAAGACAGGGTCCCTAGACCTGCCATGTGATTTTTCTCCTGCTCTTTCCTCCCCTCCCCCCAGGATCACCCAGGGGGAGAGGGGTGCTTTGCTCATTAAACCTGGACTTTTAATTCAGCCTGATCTGATTTATTGAGTCAGTGGAGAAACCCAATATCGGGTTTGGAAACCTCTCAGAGAGTGCCTTGGTTTCTTTTTTGTTGCCAATATAAAATACCCTGACAAAAGCCACTTAAGGGAGAAAGGGCTTATTTATTTTGTCTTACAGTTTAAGGCATAGTTACCATAGTGATACAGCCTAGGCAGCAGGAGCCTGAGGCAGCTGGTCACACTATCCTGTGTGTGGGGGGGCAGTCTCGTGGGGCCCACAGTCAGGAAGCAGTGAGTGTTCAGTTCTCCCTCCTTTTGATACCACCCTGAACCATGCAGTGGTACTACCCACTTTTCGGATGGGTCCTCCCAGCTCAACCTAATTAAGAAAATCCCTTTAGGCATGCCCACAGCCATCTTAATCTGGGTCACCTCTCATTGAGATGCCTTTTCTAGATAATTCCAGATCCTGTCAAATTGACAAATGAAATTATAACCATCACTGCGTATATCTTTATTTAGTAAGAAAGGGGAATGATACAAATGGCCTATAAGTCACCATAGGGCTTAGAACAGTGTGGTCCATTACTTGGTTGGACATTTTTCAATCTGGATGCTTTATCTTGATTGGATAATTTACCTCCTGATGGAGAGAAGATACTTTGATTTTACAAGGGCCTCAGGAGTATAGTCTAAGGCTGTATGGAGTAAATACATAAAGTAGATTGCCTTTACGCAATGCCCTGAGTAGGGTTGAGGCCCTCCCCACCCCCAGGGCTAGCCTGGGTATGGAGGATGATGTTTTTGGCACCAAACAGGTGGTTGTGTGCAGTGGAGGACGTGGGTGTAGTGTTGCCAGATTATCCTTCATTGCTAGATTCTGTGAAGCTTTTGATTTTTAAATATTGACAACTAATTCAACTTAAAAACAAAAGCAAAGCAGCACACTGTGCCACCGGAGGTCCACAGACTGCAAACTCCACCCTGCAGAGCTTAGCTGGTGTTGGCTGCTCAGGAGGAGACGGAATGCAGCTCTCTTCCTAGATTTCACCCACCTTTCAACTAGTTGTAGAAATGCCTTAAGCTCTGCTGTGGCTGGGTGTGGCAGTACCGGACTGTCATTCCGGCACTTAGGAGGTGGGGACAGGACAGGAAGGTCAAGACTTAAAGTTCTCAGCATAGCACATTTGAGGCCATCCTGGGCTATGTGAGACCATCCTGGGCTACGTGAGACCATCCTGGGCTACGTGAGACCCTGTCTTTAAAAACTGGTGGTTGGTGATGTGGCTCAGTGGTAAGGTGCTGGCTGCACCCCTTAGGTACACGTGTGTGTACAGGTGGAGGAAGAGCTTGTGCACACACATAGTCACACATGATGAAAACAAATAAGACAAAAATACCTAAAAGAAAAGAAAAGAGATTCTCAGAGGTGATAATCTTTTCTGCTCTTCGACATCCTTCGGGTGGGAAAAGTTTCTTACGGGGCGGGGTGGGTTTTTTTTTTGGGCTTGTTTGTTTGTTTTTCTGTTTATGCATATTACCATTAGAGTGTTTCAGCGCTCCAGAGGGAAGGGGTTCGGATGACCTTTGATGTCGAATTCCAGCCATGTGACTTTTCAGCTTAATTGGACGTGGATGCAATGCTGCTAATGCCCATGGCCAGAGGGATGGCGTTTGGAACTGAGCCAAGCAAAATAAATGCAAATCTCTGAGCTATTCTCAGAGGATAACCTTATGTCAGTGGGGATAACCAGGCAGGGAAAGTCTGCTCGGCTAAGGTTAAGGAGAGATGCCCCCGAAGGCGGGCTTAGAGAGGAGAAAGACTTGGGTGTCCTTTCCAGGTCGTATTGCTGAGATCTCACTTTTCATTTTCTTCCCTGGCTGCTTTAGGTTTGAAGACTCCATCCCTCACCACCCCCTGGATTATGCCCGTGGCTTTCCCGCCTGATGATTCTCTTGCAGCAGGCCGGGCTTCCTCCACCTAAGCGGCCCTCAACCTCTCCTCCTATGTCAGTGGCTGCCAGGTCCACAAGGACCTTGCAGCTTCCACCACAGAAGCCGTTTGGGCAGGAGACGTCCTTGCCTCTGGCAGGGGAAGAGGAGTTAGCTAAGGGAGGGGAGCCAGACTCTGCCCTGGAGGAGCTGTGCAAGCCCCTCTTCTGCAAACTCTGCAATGTCACCCTGAACTCTGCTCAGCAAGCCCAGGCACACTATCAGGTAAGAGAAGGAAAGAAAAGCAGCTGGCAGTGGGGTGCGCTTTCCCGGTGCTGATTATTTGGTTAGATGGTGTCAGTGGGGTGAGCTTTCCCGGTGCTGATTGTTTGGTTAGATGGTGTCAGTGGGGTGAGCTTTCCCGGTGCTGATTGGTTAAATGGTGTTAGTTGGGTAAGTGTTTTGGGTTTTGGTTGGTTAGGTCATATAAGTGGGTAAGCATTTTGGGTGCTGTTTTGTTAGATGATGTCTTAGGTTTCTATTGCTGTGAAGAGAAACCATGACCATGGCAAGTCTTATAAAGGAAGACATTTAACTGGGGGTGGCTTACAGTTTAGAGTTTAGTCCATTATTGTCATGGTGGGAAGCATGTAGCATGCAGGCAGACATGGTGCTGGAGAGGGAGCTGAGAGTTCTACATCTGGATTAGCAGGAAGCAGGAAGAGCAATGCCACACTGGGACTGGCTTGAGCATCTGAGACCTCAAAGCCTGTCCGCAGTGACACACTTCTTCCAACAGAGCCACACCTACTCCAACAAGGCCACACCTCTTAATAGCGCCACTCCCTTTGGGCTTATGGGGGCCATTTGCATTCAATCACCACAGATGGTGTCAGTGGGGTGAGCATTTTGGGTGTTGGGTGGAGGAGCTGTCAATGGGGTGAACATTTTGGGCACTGTCTGGCCACAAGTTACCTATCCAGGTATGACCAGTTGAGACTGGGAAACTCAGAAGAGGTAGAGAATAGAGCACCTGTTTCACACCGTGGGTTCTGCCCGTGGTTCCAAGGAGAAATGTACTACATTAGTTCAGTGTAAAATTATTCTCAAGTTTGTACAACTTGCATCAAGGCCACCTGCCACACAACTCTTATACTTTTTTACTCCAGACTTTTTCTGTGGGTCCTATTATAGCTGAGGCAAATACAAGTATCTTTTTATAAGAGAATAATATGGTATATTCAATTACTGAGTCTTACCTTCATCAAAAACACACCTTAGTTTCTTTTAGTCTTCTGAGTGAACTCATACTGAATATTAAGGTTTAAATCATGTTATCTCTGTAGAATAGCTTGTGGAAAAGGCCTAAGAATATATGGGGAACTAGGAGAGGATGTAGGCTTTGTGTTTACATTTTTATTTTAGTTTTAGGTATGTGTTTGTGTGTGTGTGTGCTGTGTGTTTACACACGTGCATGTTGGTGTCTGCAGCAGCCGGAAGAGGAGGGTGTTTCCTTGAAGGTGGAACTGCAGGTGTTATGAGCCACGTGATACGGGTGCCGGGAAGCAACCGCCAATCCTTTGCAAGAACTGCAAACACTCTTACCTGGGGAGCCGGCTCCCTCCTCTAGTGTTTCTTTTTATTTTATACTCTTGTCTGCATACAATTGGATGTTTTTCCTTTGTGGAGAAAAGAGACCTGAAAACAGAAACCTTTGAATGGAGGTTATCTCCTGGACCACTAGTGATTTAGTTTTTATCCCTGCCGAGACCACATGGCAGAAAGCTGTTAGCTATACAGTATTTCTTCTCGCCTGAAACTGTACTTTTCTATTGCGACCTTCACTGTTGGACCTGACTGAGGTGACAGAGAGTGGAGAAAAGACAGACGCTGTTTGGAAAAGTTGGGCTCCAGTGGGCAGATTCTCTGATGGGAATGCACGAGAATGCAGAGGCTAGGAAACTCAGCGTTAGAGCAGGAACAAGGCAGAGGCAGGTTAGCTACCCTGGAGGGGGACTCCATAGGAGAGCAGGCTCAGACTGCAGTCATCATTGTGGTGATTATTTTCGCACACCCTGCAAACACTAGTGTTCACATTCAGAGGACTAGGAAGGCCTTCTGATCTAAGGCAGGCCTTGTCATTCCTCAGAGTCTGAGGCACTGGGTCCTTGACATAGCTTTGCTCATGTCAGTAAGACATACTCACTCAGGAGTTCATTAGCTCCCCACACTTTTCTCCACTTCAGGGTTTTTGTTTACCTAATTTTGTTTTGATCCCAAAGATGGGTAATTGAGCACTGCATCTTGCCTTAGAAACATTTCCTTGGGAAGCAGAGGTCTGTTGCTCTGCCTTGTTCAGGTCTGTCTGCTGCCAGCGGCAGGGCGGAATTCATTGCGGCAGATCTTAGCACAGCCTTGGGTAATCAAGGCTTCTGTGTTTCTTTCCTATTTTCTTCTGTAGCCCCGTCTCTCATCCCTGTGTGCTGCTCCCCGCGAGATGGCAGGTACTGGGGGCTGCTTTTCCTGTCTTCTGTTCAGGTGGCATCTGTTATGATGACCCATCTCAAACAGACATAAACATAGCTCACTTCCGCCTTTGTTCCTGTGAGATACTCCATTTTCTGTAAAGAGTCACTGGCAAAAGTCAAGGATGAGTTGGATAGTTAAGGTTTTTAGCTCTCTGAAGCCCTTCCTAGGTTTTTATTGGGTATACACCTGCTTTTTGCCTTTGCATAGTTATTACCTTTTAGGGAAAATGAGGCAATGTGTGGTTTTAGTGTGTTTGTGTGGGTTATCCTTCTACCTCGGGTTGCTTTTGTGACTCTTGTGTCTACATGGTGATAGAACCTCTTGCATGTTGTATGTGTTTGTACATGTTCCTGTGTGTGGGTGCACATGTGTGTGACTGTATTTGGAGGGCAGAGGTCCATGTTGGGTGTCTTCTTCAATCATTATCCACCATATTTTCTGAGATGGGGTCTCTTACCATACTCAGAGCTCCCTGATTTGGCTAGGCACTCTAGGGAGCTGCCTGTCTCTCTTCATCTTTAGGGCTAGCCTGGTCTACACAGCAAGTTCTAGACTAACTAGAGCTATTTAGTGAGATCCTGTCTCAAAACGAGCCAACAGAAACTAAATGTGTATGTCAGGGATCCGAACTCAGGTCCTCCTCCTCATGCACCAAAAGCTTTATTGACGGAGCCATCTCTCTGGTGTCTGAGATTTGGATTTCTGTGAGAGAAGTAGTCAGCACGAGAGTGAATAAGCAATCAGAGCGTGAGCATGTGGAACGGAGAAGGTGACCCGCCATGGAAGGAAGCCATTGCAGTGTTAGCCTGGAGCCAGCAATGGTGGCACCTGTAATTCTAGCTCTTGGGAGGTGGAAACAGAAGGAGCTACAGTTTAAGGCATTCTTGCTACACAGTAGCCAGAAACTCCAGAGCAGCCTGGGCTACTTGAGACCCTGTTCTCATAAAACAAAGATGTCAGACTGAAAGATGGATCAGTGAGTAGGTCTCCGTAGGTGGTGAAAGAAGACAGCTGTTAGAGGCAGGGGTGACACCAGCGGGTGAGGACCCGCTAAGCACTAGTGGTCAAGGAGCAGCGAGCGCAGACTGGCAAAACCAACGGTTTACAGCTAAAGGAGATGATGGCAGATGCAAAGCTTTATTGCAAGATGAAAAACCTGCCTTGTAATTGTTATTTCAGGGTGATATCATGGGCATACATCTGTTATTTCAGTCACATGCTTGTAAGTGGAAAGGCCCTGTGTGAATGCACAATTCTCTCCCTGAATTACCTAACCCTCTTTAGTGAGCTGATGCCGTTGAAATCGAAGTTTCATATTGCTCAGTGTGGTAAACAGCCATTGTTAACTGGAGTTTGACTGTATCACATTCCAGTGCTCAGGATACAGTGGCGATCGCTCTGTAAACACTCCCTCGGCCTCATCTCCATTTCTCCTGACATCTTGAGGCTCCCCATCAGGGCTGCCTTCTACAGCCTTGGGTGCTCATCACAGATGGTTTATACCCCAGGCTGTTTAGCCCTGTCGTTTAGCTTCGAAGCAGCCTCAGCCGAGTCAATTATTTTTTAATGAGGCTATCTAATTTTTCAGTTTTAAAATTATGGCTTTGGTTATAACTTAATTTAAAATCAAATTTTTGGAAGCTAAATGAGTTTTCGTTTCATTGAAATTTATCTGCATGCTCAGATTACTTAGTGCAAGCCTGGCATGAAGAAATATAATAGGATTTCTTCAGCATAAATACCCAGAGGAAGAGCTGCTTTGAGAAGGAGAGTCACAGAAAATATTTTTACATTTATGTATGTATGTATGTGTGTGTATGGGGTCGAACTCAGGTTATCAGACTTTATCTGATGAACAACTTTAAAAAAAAAGGCAAATTGCATAAATAAAGTTTACTAAGTGTCCACCTTGAAAATTAGAAATTTATCTGCTAATTTACATAGTCACATGAATAAGCACTAGTTACATGGAGCATTTTTCTGAAGTTTGTCATAAAGGTAGATGGTGCTTGGTATCTGATGAGTGTCATGTTAGCTATGTTGCTGAGAGAAACTGTGAGTGGTTTTAGACCTCTGATGCTAAATGCAACGGTCTCCAGTCGTGATAAACAGAATGTGGGCTGGGGAGACGGCAGAGTGGGAAAAGGGCTGTGCCAGCTCAGAGTTCCGATCCCAAGCCCCCACATAGAAGTTGGTGTAACTCTCACCTGTAACTCCAGCCAGCCCTTGGGGGCCAGAAGAGTGGGGATGGAGGATGCCAGGGACTTGATGCCCAGCCAGTCTAGCCAAAAGGGCGAGCTCCAGGTTCAGCAAGAGATCCAACCTCAGACAGTAATACGGTGGAGAGCAATAGAGGAAGACACTTTGCATCAACTGGCTTCTGCTTATTCAGGAATGTACACACGCTGCGGTTGGATCTTCCCGTATATATTAAAATAGCAGGACTTTCCCTTTCCTCCTCCCTCTGCTCTTTTCAGAGTTTGGCCTGGTATGATTGGACCATAAAGGCCTTTACTTCCTATTCATTCTCAGCCTGCAGGATTTTGCTTCCATTACAGTACTCCACAGATTTAGACACAGTTTAACATCAACCGTCCAGGATTGCATGGATGTCAGTGTTTCTAATCTCAGTTTATTTTTTTTAATTACAAATTAACTTTATTATTTTATTTGTATGTGTGCTCTGGCTGCATGTATATTTGTGCACTACGTGCTTGCCTAGTGCCTGCTGAGGTCAGAGATGATGCAGGTTCCCC